TTTCGGATGCCTTTGGGTATTTGTTGTTTCCTTACTATGTTACTTTATAGTATGAGAGATTTAATGTTTCTTTATACATATAAGAGAGATCATTCTTTGTCTCTCTCATGACTAACTTCACTCAGCGTTATACTTTCCAGATCCATCTATAGCAACAAATTGCATGATTTCATCTTTTCTTATAGCTGAGTAGTGTTCCATTGTATATACTGACTGTAGTTTATCCAGTCATCTGTTCTTGGACACTTGAGCTGTTTCCAATTTTGACTGTTGTGAATAGTGCAGCAATTAACATATGAGTACAAATGTCTTTTCTAAACAGAGCTTTTTGGTTCCTTTGGAGTAGATGCCAAGAAGTGGAATTACTGGATCAATGGAGCATCAATTACTTATTTTTTGAGAAGTGTCTATTGTTTCCAAAAGAATCAAACAGGTTGACATTCTTGAACACCAGCTATGAATGAGGGTCCCTTTTCCTGTACACCTGCACCAACACTGATTGTTTTTGTTCTTTCTGATGTGTGGCAGATAGCTGGTGTGAGACATCTCATTGTTCTTTTGATTTGTGGTTCCCTAATGGTGTGATGCAAAAGCATTTTTTCATATACTTTTGTGCACATGTTTTTTGTGCCTTTCTTAGTGTTCTCAGGTTTACTCCTGCCTCTGTTTGCTCCTAGTGATGCCTAGGGGACCATATGGAATGTCAGGGATCAAACCTGGATTGGATGTATGCAAGTCTCTACCCACTGTACTATCACTCCAGCCCTTTACATATACTTCTAGGCTAATTGTATATTCTTTTTTTTTTAAAGCAGAGAGAATTTTCTTAAATAAATCATGAAGGGAAGATTCATGAAAAAAATGTATGAATTGGACTTCAGCAAAATTATAACTTCTGGACACTGGTGAAGGGATTGGAGCATTGTATTTCTGAAACTCTGCTATAAGTAACTGTGTAAATCACAGTACCTTAAAAAAATTTTTCTTTGATTCTGTTTTGGTCACACTATTAACACCACCAACTGGGGTTAACCATTTCCATGTTAATTGCCAGAATCCTTTTTAAGTCCAGAACAACATGATGAGAATGTTGATTTAGTGATAGAGAACATGCTTCTTTTGTATTAAACCCCCACCCCACCCCAGTTTCAATCCCTGGGACTGTAAATAAATCAATACAAAAGATTTAAACTGATTCTTCTTCAAGAAAGAAAAACACAAAACTACAATTACTTTCTTTACTATACTTTCATTGTAAAACCTGTAATTAAAAAAATAAAGATAGCTGTGAACTATGTAAAGAAACTGAAAAATCTGTTAACATTCTGAATGTAAATTTATGCCGACATAGATTTTAATTTTAAAAAATGATCTTAGTAAAATAAAACAGAAACATAATAAAATCTATATTTTCACTTTGGAAAACTGTAAAAGTGAAAAAAATTAGATAAAAATAAAAGATAAATGACTTACCACGTGAATCACTAAACTCCTGAATGGTAAATACCAAAAGAAATCAGAAGAAAATTATGTTTTAAAAATATGTCATGTGGGGCTGGAGCAATAGCACAGCGGGTAGGGCATTTGCCTTGCACGCAACGAACCCACGTTCGATTCCCAGCATCCCATATGTTCCCCTGAGCACCACCGGGAGTAATTCCTGAGTGCGTACAGAGCCAGGAGTAACCTCTATGCATTGCCAGGTGTGACCCAAAAAGTAAATATATATACATATATATATATGTCATTTTTCTAGCAACTATAACCCTAAACATAAATGCTGGAAATCCATCAGTTAAAAAAATTTCTACAGCACAGTAGAAATTTTTAGTCTTGTAAAGGACAAATTATTGATTAATGTAATAATGGAACAATAAATTGCCTCATGGTATATGAAAGAATCAGGCTCAAATGTACTGGATTATTTAGAGTTCTGGAAAATGTGAAACTTGTTAGACAGCAAGAGGCAATGCTGCTTGCCATGATCAAGATTGGAGGTAGTTTTGATTGCAAACAATCAGTTTGAATGAATTTGGGGGATGTGATGAAATTATTATTATTATTATACTACTTATAATTCAGCATCATTACTTGTACACCATTTATCAATTTTAGATGCATACTTGACATGACCTAGTTAGTGTCTTGACACCAATATCAGCAAAGGTTAAACAGTAAAACAACTAATATTATAAGGGCAGGCTTCTGCTTTGGGGAAGCTGCTTGACATGCTCTGGTAAACATGGAAATGATCATGTCCTTAACCCAGCAAGTAAATATCTTAATATATGCCTCAATGAAATCATCATAATGTACATAATAGGAATGCAAAAATAGTTAACAGCTCTGTTATTCAGCATTTTTTTGGGGGGGTCACACCCGGCGATGCACAGGGGTTACTCCTGGCTCTGCACTCAGGAATTACTCCTGGCAGTGCTCAGGGGACCATATGGATGCTGGGACTTCAACCCTGATCAGCCGTGTGCAAGGCAAACACCCTGCCCACTGTGCTGTCGCTCCAGCCCCCATAATTAACATTTTTAAAACTCATTTTTTACCTTCCCTTTTTGCAATGACCAGATAATTTGCACACTTTTAGTTGTGGTGCTTGTCAAGGATCACACAATTCTTTATGTGATCACTCATGCTCACCACAGGACATATTCAGTTATGGTGTTCACAGGCTTTCCGGTTGTAGTGCTTGTTAGTGACTGGTGTTCACATTCTGTGTGCTTTGGAGTTCCATGGCTGACTCCTTGCCTACACATCCTTAACTGTGGTGTTCTGAATGAGTTTCACATTTCAGCAGCCTCATTGGCCCTGCCGTCCAGAAACAAGGGTCAATGAGGCTGCTCAGGGCACTGTCTCATGCCTCATAAGTAGACACTTCATGGTACTGAATTGCTTTTGATCATCCATAAAATTCCCAAGATTATGTTTTTTTTAAGTGGATAGAAAGGAGAATAATAACAAGTAATTTATTTCTACAATTGGTAGCACTGTAGCACTGTCCTCCCATTGTTCATCGGTTTGCTCAGGCGGGCATCAGTAACGTCTCCATTGTGAGACTTGTTGTTACTGTTTTTGACATATCAAATATGCCACGGGAAGCTTGCTAGGCACTGTGTGTGAGCGGGATACTCTTGGTAGCTTGTCAGGCTCTCCAAGAGGGATGAAGAAATCAAATCCGGGTCGGCTGAGTACAAAAGCAAATGCCCTACCTGCTGTGCTATTGCTCCATTATATACAAATGTATACAAGATAAGGATATGAAAGCAGAGTTTCGAACTATTTTTATTAGTGGGTCTTCTGTCTTAATAGTTGCTTTCTGGAAATGTCATTATTTTTTTTGAGGTCTTTAAAACCTATCTATTTTATTTATTTTTTTATTATTAAGTCACTGTGAAGTACACAGTTATAAAGTTCATGATTAGTTTTTATTACAGTGTTTCAACAACCTTCTCTTCACCAATGTACGTTTCTCACCACCAGTGTCCTCAGTTTCCTTCCTTCCACCCCTGCCCTCCATCTTTCTCTCTCTCTCCCTCCCTCCCTTCCTCCCTCGCCCCTCTCTCTTCTATTGGGCATTATGGTTATAATCCAGGTGCTACTAAAAGGTAAGATCCTTTTACCTACTTTCGGCACTCAGTTCTTGTCCAGAATAATAATTTCCAACTACCAATGTTGTAGTCCCTTTTCTATCTTAACTAACCTCCCTCACACACACACTTGCACACACTTGTGTCAAGTTTCAAACCATGGGCTGTTCTCCTGGCCCTCGTTACTACAGTCTTGGGGTCTTCTGAGGTCTTTTGTTTCTTTATTAATACCATCCCTGAGTGAAGTAGGTGAGATGAAGAAAGACAAACATATTATTTGTATGAGTATATAGAGAAAACAGTAGCACTGTAGCACTGTCCTCCCGTTGTTCATCGATTTGCTCGAGCAGGCCCAGTAACGTCTCCATTTTGAGGCTTGTGGTTACTGTGCTTGGCATATCGTATACATTATGGATAGCTTGCCAGGCTTTGCCATGCAGGCAAGATACTCTCAGTAGCTTGCCGGGCACTCTGAGGGGAACAGAGGAATCGAACCTGGGTTGGCCCGGTCGGCCATGAGCAAGGCAAATAAAACAAAACTAAACGTTTGGACTATAAGTCACTCAGTGGTGTACCAGAAGGGTAGGATAACAGGGTACACTTCATGCTGGACAAAATTTTTCGTGGCAAATTTAATATAGCATAGAAATGTTGATTTTCAGTGATGTACTTCTGAAACTTAAGTTATACCATAGTTGTCAATTAAAAGGAAATTAATAGCATTCATTTTTTTCCCATTGGAATTATATATGACATGAGAATGTGAGAGTCAGAATGTTCCCTTTACAATAATGGGTAGGAAAGTAATTATAACAATAATGGGTAGGAAAGTAATTCATCAAGAGTGAAATTAGACTTCTAATACCCTCCCTACCAGTACCATTGGAGTTTGAAGTGGACTAGCCTACTCCAGGGAAAGTTTGCATCTATGATAAGTTTGCATCTACTTCTTCAGGTCATTTTTTAAACTCATTGGTCCAGGGAAAGAGGGAAGAAAAAAAAGACCAAATTTCCTCACATTCAAGGTGAAATCATCCCATCTTGCTGATGTACAAGAAAAGAGAGCAAGAGATTTTTTTTTAAGCAATTTTTTCTCAGGCAATCTGAAGTAAAAGAAATCTTTGTTCCTTCTCATTTCAGTGTTTTACATTCTTATTGTTAGAAAAATGCTTCTTGAAAATTGGTTGGAATAAGCCATTACAACTTCAGTATATAGCTGCGTTTACCATAGAATACCCTTCTTGTATATGACTTGTCTTTAAACTTTTGATCTAATCTTTAAAAAGCATTCTCTGTTAGCCTGAGAACATCAATAACATATTTCTTTGGATTAAAAAGCTGGCTTAATAGAAATACAAGTAGAACATTAAAGCAGTGTTTTTCTTTTTTTTAATGTTACAGATATATCTAAGGTTCCTAGATTACCAAATGGAGCACTCAAATGAATGCAAGAGAAACTTTGTTGCTGTGTATGATGGAAGCAGTTCTATTGAAAATTTGAAAGCCAAGTTTTGCAGCACTGTAGCCAATGATGTAATGCTTACAACAGGAGTTGGAGTGATCAGGATGTGGGCAGATGAAGGCAGTCGGCTTAGCAGGTTTAGAATGCTCTTTACGTCCTTTGTGGAGCGTAAGTAAATCTTATAGTATTAATATCTCTTAATGGTTTTTATTTGTTCAGAATACATTCTTGGTCTTACATATCTGACAAAGACTGCGATTTACAGAGAATGTAGCAGTAACTAGGTGTGAGTCCCTTTCCATCAAGGAATTACTGGCAATGGGTGAAAAAAAAACAAACTATGTTTGTGCATAAGTTACAGCACAGAGTCTTAATACAGATATAAGTACATGAAAAAGAGAACATTAAGAGGTTTTGCACGATTTTTAAAAATTAAGAATGCCATCGGTATCTTTGTGAATAACCATTAATCAAATAAGTTGTTTGTGTGTTTCTTTTTTAAAACTTTTTTTTAAGCTTGAATTTTTATGATGTTTTCTTATGGATTTGGTTAAAGTATACTTTTTTTTTTTTGCTTTTTGGGTCATACCCGGTGATGCACAGGGATTACTCCTGGCTCTGCACTCAGGAGTTACTCCTGGCAGTGCTCAGGGGACCATATGGGATGCTGGGAATCGAACCCGGGTCGGCTGAGTGTAAGGCAAACGCCCTACCCGCTGTGCTATCTCTCCAGCCCCTACAGTATGCATTTTAGTCAGCAATTCCACAGGAACTTATGTTGCATGATTTTTAGTGGATTACATCTGAGAGAGAGGAGGATTTATAATATAAATTTGTTTTCTATCAACTTCAGATACTTTTTTAAAGTGCTGACAACTTTTTTCACTACAAAGTTATTGTCATTTTTTCCCCTTTTTTGGTTGGCTTTGTTGTGTTATTTTCGGACCACAGCCAGCTGTGCTCAGGGCTTACTTCTCCTGATTCTCAGAAATCAGTCCTAGAGGGTCTGAGGTGCTGTGGTGATCAAACCTGGGCAAGGTGTGTGTAAGGCAAGCACACTAATCACTGTACTGTTTCTCCAGCCCCAGATTTTTTTCTTTCTAATTAATAAATCTCTTTGAGACTATGCAGGTAAACTTTCAGTTAACTGAGTTTTTGTTCCCATTCTCTACTAGTTTCTGCTTTTGATAATTATTATTGTGGTATTTACCTGGGCTGGAATGATAGCACAGCGGTTAGGGCGTTTGCCTTGCGAGCAGCCAACATGGCTGACCCGAGTTCAATTCCTCCTCTCTCGGAGAACCTGGCAAGCTTCCGAGAGTATCTCTCCCGCACATCAAAGCCTGGCAAGCTACCCATGATGTATTCAATATGCCAAACACAGTAACAGTTGTCACAATGGAGACATTACTGGGCCCGCTCGAGCAAATCGATGAACACCAGGAGGACAGTGACAGTGGTATCTACCTAATGTTGGTTTTCCATTTCTTTTCTTGTGCATTTAATTATGAACCCACTGTGAGGAAAAGCTATTATTTTTCTCTCATTGATTTGTTCAGTTATTTAGGGGTGTGAGCCTGGCAAGCTACCGAGAGTATCTTGCCCGCATGGCAGAGCCTGGCAAGCTACCTGTGACGTATTCGATATGCCAGACACAGTAACAACAAAGTCTCACGATGGAGACGTTACTGGGCCCCTCAAGAAAATCGATGAACAATGGGAGGACAGTGATGTGTGTGTGTGTGTGTGTGTGTGTGTGTTACTATGTGTATATTAAATTACTCAAGAATCCCAGCTTTGGTCTTTGGAAATTCTTTCAAATTGTCTCCTGTATGTTTTTTGTTTACCCTTTGTTTTTTTTCTATCTCTTCCTTTCTGTCACCACAAGATGTATCAGCTCAACTTGTTTTCCATATTTGAGCCCTAAAACCAACCATAATTCCAAGGGATATTTTTCTTAACATTTTGTTTAAAAATCTTGCCCAGATTACCCACAATTTATTTATTTGCTCACTCTTACAAAACACATTTTTTCAAAATTGCTATTCCATATCTCTGCTAGAAATTCCTTTCGTCTTTAGCCTTACTATTAAAGTCCTTTTCCAGTTCCTTGGGTTAGTTGTTTTTCTCCCACCATTTTTTTTAAGTTATGCAATTTATTTGTACTTCACTTGTGATTGTTTTGTTTTGTGTGTGTGTTCACAAAACAAAACAGTGTTTTGGGATGCAAAAACATTGCTTCTATTCTCAGAGAGCTATGCAAAAAGATAAACTCAAATTGTCATTCCCCACTTATTTTTTCTTTGCATTCTATTCCTACCTATAAGCATTCATATTTGTTCCTGGTATGTCCACTTTATATTTCCTTTGTTTTACATGAAGAGCAGCATATTATACTGTTCGCTCTTGGCCTCTTACATTTACCTATATCTTAGAAATCACTGTATTTCAGTTTGTAGATACCATCCTTAGTTTTTATAACTGCATAGCAGTGTTTTATCTGTACATACTTTATTCAGTTCTTTTATCGGCATGTGGGTTTTTCCAGGTTTTTTTAGTTACACTTACAGCTATGATTAACAAGTTATGCATATGTATTTTTGTGTTCTTGGAGTTATAGCTCAGGAGAGATTCCTGGAAGTGAGATTAGTGATTTGAAAGGTAAACCCTAGATAGTTTTATTAAGTATTGCCATATTCTTCCAGAGGTATGATCACAAACTGAAACTAGTTCCTAATAAGAAATAACTCTCATGGGCCAGAAAGGCAGTCCAGAAGGTTAGGTGCTTTCCTTGCACACTGCCAACCTGGGTTCAATCCCTGGCATCCCATATAGTCCCCTGAGCACTGCCAGGAGTGATCCCTGAGCAGAGTCAGGAATAAGCTCTAAGGATAGCTAGATATGGTCCCCCCCAAAATTTACTCCATATCTCCTCTTCCGCATCCCAGGTTTCCTCTATAGATTTTCTATTCTAGGTAGGAATAAGAAATCCACCTTATAAGTAAAATCATGTAATAATTGTCCTTTTGTGTCAGGCTGTTTTATTCAGCATAAATTGGTGGGAGGTGGACAGACAGGAAAGAGCTTAGGCCACACCTAGTTGTGTTCAGGGCTTACTCCTGGCTCTGTGCTCAGGAATTACTCAAGGAATTATATATAGTGCCAGGGCAAGACATGTGCCTTAATTTATGTACTCTCTCTACAGCTCTAGCATAAAAATGTTAAGGCTGGGCAGGAGCAATAGTACATAGTATGTCGGGCACTTGCTGTACACACAGCTGACCCAAGTTCCATCTCCAGCACCTTATATGGTTCCCTGAGCACTGTTAGGTGTCCCCTGAGCACAGTGTCAGGAAAAAGCCCTGAGCACCGCCAGGATGACCTAAAAATAAACAAACAAAAATAGGGTTTTTAAAATGTTTTTGTTATTAATAAATTAAGGTTTGTCTATATCGTATGTATTTGAATTTCAGTCCTTTTTCTTTTTGATTAGTTGGTTTGTTTCTGAGCCAAACCTGCTGATGCTGAGGGCTTATTCTTGCTCTGTACTCAGAGATCTCTCCTGGCAGTTCTTGGGGAATCTTATTCAGTAACCCGGAATCAAATCAGGGCCAGCCATGCAAGCACCTTAACCCCTGTACTGTCCCACTGGTCCTCTTTTTAAGGCTAAATACTGAATCTCATCATGTATAATGCCACATTTTAAAAATCCATTCATCTATTGATGGGCATTGATTTTTTTTCACCCTTAAACTCTTGTGCATAATGCTTTAAATATTGCACATTGCACACATTTCAGTTTCTACTTTAAGATCTTTGGAGTGTAAACTTAGAAGTGAAATTGCTGAATCTTAAAGCAGTTCTGTATTTAGATTTTTTAGAAACCACCAACTTTCTTCTCAGCAGCTGAATCACTTTACCAAAAATGCTACAAATTTTCTACATCTTCTCCAGCACTTGTTATTTTTCATATTTTTATAATAACCATCATCTAATGGTTGCAAAGTATGTTTTTGAACTGAGCTTTTAGTTTTTACTCCTGAATGGTTAATGATGGTTCAATTTTTTCAGACTTGTAATTTACAATGCTGTTAATGATAGAATTTCATGCACACAGTGTTTCAGCATCACACCTTCCACCAGTGTCTGTTTCCCTCCACTTTCAGTATGTCCCACCCACCCCCGTCCCTTGTCAATGGTAAGTTCAGTTGTGTAGACAAGTTCTCACATTCTTTAGATACCACATAAAAGACGTCAAAGAGACAGTCAGTTGGTCTGCTGCAGCAGGAACTTAGAGACTTGTGTGCACAGCATGACCAAGACAAAGTCACCCATACAGGCCATAGACTCGTAGTCATATGACAAAGTTTATTAGGAAAGACAATGGTTCAATAGAGGTGGAGGGAGAATGCCTATGTGCACTAATGAGCAGGTGGCAGAGGGAGACAGGGTATTATTATTACTAGGAGGAAGCTGCTGGAGCACTGTCCTTGATGCTCTAAAGCAGAGGCAAAATTGAAGTATTGCAGACACCAAAAGATGACTGTTCCCCACATCTCAAGCCATCAGCCACTGGCAAATCAAGACTCCCCTGTTAGTCTTGAAATGTCAGGCTTCCCTGGCAATAGACTGGGGCACTCCCACAGCCTCTAGTGGTCAAGGATCGTGCCAGGGAGAACTCCAACATCTAATGAGTAATGCTATATAGCATTATAGCATATATAAGGTTCAAATGTCTTTTGGAATAGAGTTTTTTGGCCTTTGGGGTATATGCCAGAAAGTGAATTGCTGGATCATATGGAATTTTGATTCTTAGTTTTTTAAAAATTGTCCATATTGATTCCCAAAAAAGGTTGGGCCAGTTGACATTCCCACCAGCAGTGGATGAGCCATTTGTATAGCTTCATTAAAGAAGTGTCCATTCCAGTCTTTTGTTTTTTAATTTTAATTGTTAGATTTTTTAGTTAAGTCATCGGAATTTTTATATATTCTGGATTTTCATCTTTCATCATATATAAGATTATCATACACTTTTTCTCTTTCTGTGGATTCTTTTTTTCTCTTCCACGATTGTGTTCTTTGAAGTACAAAATGTTTTTAATTTAGTATAGTCCAATTTCTTTTATTCCTTTGTTTTTTGCTTTAGGTGTCATATTCATAAGATTATT